GTCTTTGCACTCAATCTAGAGAGATTAAAGAGCTTTCCGTCTGATCTAGTCCGGAGATAGACGCCCTCGGTTGCAGTTCCAAAGGCATGCTTCAGCCTTTGGAATGTTAAGGGCAATGCTAAATTATATAGGAATTGACACACAACTCAGCAATTAAAATCAATTCAGAATTTAAGGGTGGTTTGTAAATTAAATGGGTTCATCCATTAAAAGTTGCTCCTGATTGAAATGTTGGAAGGAAAAAAAATATTATGAGACACATAGATGTAGTAATATTGTAGGATTATGCCTTTCCCCCAGACCAGCTTTAAAGAGCTAGAAGTCTACTATTCACAGTTCATTAAGCCACAGGAGACAAAATCTTTCTCTTTTTCTTATACACACTGATTCTGACTGGCAACTCTAAGAGTCCCTCCTAAGAATGGTCACCAGTATCTCCAACCTGGCCTGTGTCTGGATAAGGGCACACAGGCTGGTGCCTGCTCAGGCCTGATCACTTACATTTGGAAGTGACTGTTGATAACACAGGGTTGTGTTTTTTTTTTCCAAACCTGCAAACCATTATAAACAGAAACTGAATAGAGAGGAAATATTAAACATATGAGGAAGGGGGGTAGAAATTAGTCTGCTAGTTCTGTCACTCACCCACTCCTGTTTTTGTCAAGCTTTATATTTTGAGGGCAACATATTGAAGCTTCCTGCATGTATGAAGATGGCTCTCTTTTTCTAGCATTCCGATTCCGAAATTTTTCGGAGGTGCAACCACGCATGCAAAGTGACCATGTGCCACAAGGGGGCAATAGAGTTTTAAGATACTGTAGCTATTCATGGTTACCTGTAGGGTTACCCTTTTTTCTACTATCCGCTGTTTTGCTTCCTTGCCTCACGGACTAATCTTCTTCAGCTGGACAACACTTCCTCCCACACTCTTCTTTCTTTTTGCTTAGTCATGTAGCTAGAGGTGGCTGACTCCATCTTTCTCTCTCTCTACCAAGTACAGAACAAAACTTGAATAAACAATTCCCTTCACCGAAGGCAGCCTTTAAGGATAACTTCACACTTCAGCCTTCTCATATGCAAAAGCAAATCCTGGTATTCTTCTGAGAGTGTGGACAAATCTGCATTTTGATGTGTTATCATAACTTATATAGTGCACACTGCTTTTTCTATCTGCGTATTTAAATAATAAATAAATCTAGGATCCTGGGAGTGGTGGTGGGCAATTATCTCCTTTACCTCCCCCACCACCACCACAAATAGCCATAGGTAAAGGTAAAGGTTCCCCTTGACATTTAGTCCAGTCGTGTCCGACTATAGGGAGCGGTGCTCATTCCCGTCTCCAAGCCGTAGAGTTAGCGTTTGTCCGTAGACAGTTTCAGTGGTCACATGGCCAGCACGACTAGACATGGAACGTCATTACTATTTATTTATTTATTTATTTATTTATTTATTTATTTATTTATTTATTTATTTATTTATTTATTTTATTGTACATATATATCCCACCCATCTGGTCAATCGACCACTCTGGGAGGCTAACAACAGCTAAAAATAAAACAATTTAAAACATAACAATAATATACAGCATCGGTGATCAATTGCTCAAGATGGAAAAGAAAAGAGAAAAGATAAATAGTGGCTGGAGGGAAGGCCTGCTTAAACAGCCAGGGTTTCAGTTGGGTTTTGAAAATGTCTAGCGAAGGGGCCATACAGATCTCAGGGGGGAGTTTATTCCAAAGGCGAGGAGCCACTGCCGAGAAGGCCCGGTTTCTTGTTTTTTCCTTCCGGGCCTCCCTCGGCGTTAGGCTCCTCAACCATACCTCCTGACTAGATCAGGGTAAATTTTGGTGGGAGTAGGTGTTCCGCCAAATATCGAGGCCCTAAACTGTTTAGAGCTTTGTACGTAAGCATTAAAACTTTGAAATCAACACGGAACTGAACGGGCAGTCAATGCAGAGCGGCCAGAGAGAGATATGATGGGAGAGATATGATGGTATTTTCTCACCCTACTAAGGAGTCTGGCCGCCGCATTTTGCACCATTTGAAGCTTCCACATCAACCTCAGAGGTAGCCCCACATAGAGTGCATTACAGTAGTCTAATCTCGAGATTACAAGCGCATGTACCAAAGTGATGAGTGCCCCAACATCAAGATAGGGACGCAGCTGGGCAATCTGCCAAAGGTGAAAATAGGCAGAACGGACCACTGACGTCACCTGCATTTCCATGATGAGCACCAGGTCCAGATGGATCCCCAAGCTACGAACCTCACTCTTCATGGTTAGAGTCACCCCCCCAAATCAGAGGGAGTTTCCCAACCTGCTGATGGTGGGGCTACCCACCCTCATAACCTCCGTCTTGTCCGGGTTCAACCTCAGCCCATTTTCCTGCATCCATTGCAGTACAGCCTCCAAGCAGCGTTGAAGGGACAGAACGGCATCCTCTGCAGTTGGTGAAAAGGAGATGTAGAGCGGGGTGTCATCAGCATACTGATGGCACGATACCCCACACCCCCTGATGACCCCATCCAGTGGCCTCATGTAGATATTAAACAGGATTGGGGAGATAATGGAGCCCTGTGGCACCCCACAATTGAGGCTCCATGGGGGCGAGACCCTCTCCCCAAGCTGTACTCTCTGAGGGTGGTCCTCCAAGAAGGATCGGAGCCAGGCAAGTGCCAGGCCACCAATTCCCAAGTCAGAGAGCCTCCTCAGGAGGATACTGTGGTCGACAGTATCAAAGGCGGCTGAGATATTGAGGAGGACCAACAAGGACATTTTACCCCTGTCAGCCTCCCTCAATAGGTCATCATACAGGGTGACCAATGCCGTTTCTGTACCATGGCACGGCCTGAAACCCGACTAGAACGAATCCAGGGCATTTGTTTCATCCAAATGAGCCTGAAGCTGATCGGCCACCACCCTCTCCACCACTTTGCTAATGAAAGAAACATTGGCGATGGGCCTATAATTGCCAATTTCATCTGCCACCAAACTAGGTTTTTCCTTATGGGCCTAATGAGTGTCTCCTTAAGGGCAAGAGGTACCCATTCAATTGTTATAGGCATTGCTGCTTTGATTAGCCAGGCCAGTCAAGGGTCAAGGGATGAGGAGGTGGCCTGACAGCGATCAAGTGCTTTGTCCACAATATCTGGTGTCACAGGCTGAAAAAGATCAATGATCACTGGGCAAGGCAGAGCGCTGGAGATCTCTGCTTGATCCACTGTGTCCAAAAAAAGGAGAGAGCTCTCGGTGGATGGCCTCCACTTTAGATTTTAAAAATGCTGCAAATTGGTCTGGTGAAATACTAGAGGGAGGCCCATCACTTTGACCAATTTCGGATAGGTCGCTGTGGCGATTTCCTCTGAAGCCTCTATCCCCCCCAACTTTTGCAAGGTTCTCGCTCTTCTTTCTTCGCTGCCACCAGGTATTACTGCTTTAATACCATTTAATCAAGGAGACATGTGTGCTTTTAAAACTTAAGTCATTTATTAGATCAGGGAAGTTGATATAGGATTAATATTCGATAGGTAAATCACAGGTTGCTAATCACTTGTATTTGAATCAATTCTACTTTAACTTTAAAACTCTATTAACTCTCTGTTCCATTCAGCGTCCTTACAGATCTCTAACTCACCCTTAGTTCACTTTTAAGTTTCACACAGTCCCTCTCTAAAAGAATCTCTCTTCATACTCCATACACCACCCTTTATATCCAGCCCCCTCCCCCCTTGGCTCCGCCTTCTGTCCACTCATAGGCTACTTCTTCACTGTTCAGCTGTGACAGACAGGTGAGGGCAGGGCTGTTCACTACAGTTGCACACTATGTGGAAAAGCTCCGCTTGCTGGTTTGAAGTTTCACTTATCTGGTTAGCGAGATGTACTCGGGTAGCAGCCTTTACCTTGGTGAGGTAAAGGTTAGTTGCGACCCTGACAGCTATCCAATTATAATCTGTCGGGTTCTTTCTCCACTTGCACTCTAGCCGTTTCCTAAATTGCTTCATCGCTCATAGGTCCTGATTAAACTAGGGCACAGGCCGAGCTCTGCGTTGGAGAGGCCATTTAGGAGCAATCGTGTCTACAGCTCCAGTGGCAGCGGTAAACCAGCCATCAACCGGAGCCTCGACAGGAGCACCAGCCAGATCAGCTGAAACACCTCTCATGGCATCCTGGAATCCTACAGGATCCAGTAGCCTTCAACGGCGAACCATAGAAATAGATCCAGGCTCCCTGCGAGGACAGAGAGCCATTGAGAGGTTGCATTTTATTAGGCTTCTAGCGCATGTTAGCAATTTGGTCTCTATGCTCATCTCTAATTACTGTTAATTTAAAATAAAGAAGATTGGTGGTACAATAACTGGGAAAACCAAGCTTCATCTGAAGATATCAGCTGAAGTGGGCTGAAATTAAAGTAGATTTATTCATTGGCTCAATTCTCTTGCCTGATTATTCTGGTGTTAACACAAATGGTGTAACTTTTGGAGACAAACTGGAAAAGCCACCTTGCGCCCTCCAGTGGCCATAGTTTGGGATTTGTTTTTTGCTTTGTTTTTTAATTGAAAACCACTTTTTTTGGAATGTGAGGCTGCTGTGGTGCTGGGGACTTTCAAAACATGTCAAAATTGCCTGCTCACCGCCCCCACATGGGCCTTTTCACCAAAGAAATACTTTCTTTCAGAAAAGTATTGAAAGTGTGGAGGTTTGTGGGCCAGATTGTTGCAGAAGCTGCATGTAGCCCATAGGCCACATGATGCTACCCCTGAATTAGAAGATTTTTTGTTGCAGAATGTCTGAATTTTTAATTAAATTCCTCTAGCTGCACAGCAGAACTACAGCGGTTCACATAGCAGAATAACTTCAAGCTCCCCAGATTAATCCACCCATTTTTCTTATCAACTGGTACTTACAGTCTCAATAACTCACTCTGAGATTTTAGTAAGAGAAAAAATTAAAACATTTCTTTTACTTACAGATCAACAGCAAACTGATAAACATGACTCCTTTCAACAACAGACTTTAACAGGCTCTAGATAGTGAAAAAGCGCTGAGCAGAGATGTGAGGCTGTCTTTGAATTTAGAGGCTGGTTTCAATGATAGGATTTGACAAATGTCCCATAGTATTCCAGATATTTTGGTGGCTGGATTTCCTTTGGGGCCAGCTCATGATCCATGCCTCTGACGGTTCAACCTTCATGAAAATGGACATGAAGAGAAACAATAAGTTAGGCATATACATTCAGATAAACAGACCAAAAGTTTTTTTTTAAAAAACCTACTTAGAGTTGGCATCTGTCGAATAAATATTTATGCACAGCTATAAGACCTCGTACCCACTGGACAGATGACGACTCTTTGCCCAGTCTTGGGTTATGACTCTTAAGCTGCAGTGAGGTCATACTGGATCCAGCCAAATTGACTATCACTTAAGTTCCTAGTCATAAACATCCAGAAATATGAACTATTTTTTTAATTATCATCATTATCTTTCCGTTCCTTGTGAGAGCTCCAGGAAGCTATCAATTCACATAAAATAGTTAAACTCCTGAATTGAAAATATCTAAAAACACATTACAAATATTAAAACTGCACATTATAAATGTCTGCTGAAATACAACCAGAGCAATATGAGCAGAGAGCAGTCAAATGCAAACATACGTTTATTCCCTGACAGCTTGTACAATAGATGGTATTAACTGGTATCTGAAGGATAAAAATGTGAGGAAATAGGTGGATCTCTGATGGAAATAAGTTCTATGACCATGGTGCCACCATTGAGAAAGTCTTGGCATGTTCTTACCCTATGAGCCAGACTACCTTTGGGTACCAAAAGCAGACATTCTTTGGTTGATTGACAAACCAGAAGTCACATCCAGGCAAAAAAGGAGCCATCATATGAGCCAAGGATGTGTTTTCTACATTATATTGCCAACATTTAGCTGAAATGGCCAATTTCTTCCTAAAAAAGACGTAGTGCTCTCTAGTAAGCAGGATCAGAGTTCAGGACTGCAGTTGAACATTCTTGTGAGCTGAGATATAAGAGGCAGTTCCAAACCATCCATATTTATATCTTGCAGAGTCATTACTCAGTCGATATTACAGCAACTTTGATCCAAGTTGTGCATGTCAGAAAGAGGTATTGCTTTCTAGGCAACCTTTCTGTTTAAACAGATAAATGTGCCTTCTGCTTAGGAAAATGGTGTCTGTTACTCATTCAGGAAGTCCATACCACAAAGAGTTGTTTTTGAAGCTCGTGATTAACTGATTTTTTGGCACTGTTTCATCATGACCCACTGTTAACTGAAAAGTTTCCTCTCCAAAAAACACAGAACTGTCTGTTGACAACCAATTTTGCTGAATCATTGTGACCCAGTTCATTGAAGCCTGGAGTATGATAAGCTTTTGTAGTTATGCCAACTGATTGTTAACTGATATCACAAACTGAAAATCTGAACCTCTACAGTCCATACTAAAAATATGGTTCACGATCCAGTCTCCTTGACTGTATCTTCTAATTAATTTCTTTAAAATGAATTCTGTCAGGTTTCCAGTGAAATTATACTCACCGTCTCATCTTGACAGTGTTCGTGGACATACAAGACATACAAATGCACATGTAAATATGTTTAAACTTAGCAAACCCATCTTTTTCAGTCAGAATTCATTAACCAATCAAATTTGCAAATGATTCAGATATGCAGATTTACAAATTAGTCATTTTATATCTCTGCCTCATGAAGTTTATTCTGCTTTCAAATTAAATATGTTTCACTGAAGGTCAAACTAGTTTACTGAAGGTCATTTTATTTATTTATTTATTTATTTATTTGTTTGTTTGTTTGTTTGTTTGTTTGGCAAGGGTGCATCTTTGAGAGATGAAAAACATCTGACAACATGATTTTTTTCACCTACAAATCTTGCATTTGGATTGCTTTGTTCTGTGGCTGGTCACTGGAATTTTAAATGTGGGCTTAATTTGTAGGACTGACTGCTGAGGCAGAAACCCACTTTTTGCAGGACAAACTGATTAATCCTATGGAACATCTATTCTTCTTAGTGTTTAGTTTGATGCTGACTTTGTAACTAGGTGTGAGTGGCTCCATGGCCCCCTCCATAACAACACCTTAAGTTGCTGCAGAACCTGTCTCTTTATTGAACCCAGCATAATATTAAGAAAACAACAGACTCATAAAGGGTCAACAGTGCCCAATAATATCTAACACCCACAGGTGGCTAAAAATTATTTATATTGTTCAGTCTATTCCAGTCCTCTTTCTCCAGTCCCTTATGGAGGAGCCCCTTCTCCTTCACCAAGTCCAGAACTCCACACAGGTGGGCCAGGCAAGGGGTCCCACAGGAGGGATGCTGAATGCATGCCATCAGTTGTCTCTATAGACAGGTGGGGAAGGCACCCTCCCCAGCCAGACCTCCTTGTCCTTCCTGAGTTTCAGCTGACCCATAGGTCAGGTAGCTCTCTGTGGAGTCCACTCAACCCTGACTACCTTTGTTGGACTGGCGAGGTGGAGGGTGGGACACCATGGTGCAAGAGCCTTCTCTTGGAGCAGGATGGGGAATGCCATGAGGAGACTCCACCTGAGCAGGCTGCGCCTGGTGCTTCTTCTGTCAACTGATGGGTGAAGCATTGGTTCTTCTTGACAGTGGGCTTCATCCCAGTGTACTCATGAAGCCTCCTCGTGTGGTACCAAGAGGTCTATCCAATTACCTGTCTTTGGGTTACACTGACAAATCACTTCCCAGCCCTCCTTTGAGTAGGGTTCAGCTGGTAACACCTCTTGAGCCTCACACACCTCCCGGTCAATGGTGTCAGCTCAGGGTTCCTCCTCCTCCCATTCCCTCTCTTCCTTAAATTGGAGCTCTGACATAGCTACACCTGTGGTTTCGAGGGCATCTCCCACCTCCACCTCTTTGCTGGCCCAGTCCACTGGAAACAGTGGTCCTGCCAAGGCAGGGAGCCCACGCTGATGGCTGGAGGGACCATCATGGGCAAGTGTGTATTTAGATAAGGACTTCCCTTTCACTGCATTTAAAGTATCACTGCCTGAAACCAATACTGAGCTGCTATGAGAAATATGCTGAAACACATATGGCAGAAGTGGGGGGGGGGAGAGAAATCCTGTGCGCCTAATGCTCCATATGTCTGGAAAGGCCCGAGATCTCATTTAAATATTACCTAGTCCTGGATTTCTCCTCTGCTGTATGACTTGCCATCCTTGAGTTCCTGGATCCCACCCACTGATAGCAGGTTCTGTGTCTCTAAAGACCAGGGAACCTTGACCTGTAAAAGAAGACTGAAAGTCTGTGGTCAACAAAGACTAGCAAATAAGCTTGAAACAAAATGGGGAACTTGGGTAGGTTCATGAAGCTGTTGTGGAAAACTGGTAATTCCCTTTTGGTTAGTAAAGGTAAAGGTTCCTCTTGACATTTAGTCCAGTTGTGTCCAACTCTAGGGGGTGGTGCTCATCCCTGTCTCCAAGCCGTAGAGGCAGCGTTTGTCCATAGACAGTTTCTGTGATCATGTGGCCAGCGCGACCAGACATGGAACACCGTTACCTTCCCACCGAGATTGTACCCATTTATCTACTCGCATTTTTACAGGTTTTCAAACAGCTAGGTTGGCAGAAGCTGGGACAAGCGATGGGAGCTCACTCCGTTGCGTGGATGCTGGTCGTCTGAACTTGCAGCACAGAGGCTTCTGCAGTTTAACCCACAACACCATCACATCCCTTTTGGTTAGCAAAGTTTAAAGTACCAACAACTGTAGAGAGAAAGAATAAGAGAATAGCTTAACTCTCAAAGCCACTCCCCTTTACAGTAACTAGCACTTTATATGTTGAAAAGCACCCTGGAAACATTTTAAGTAGAAAAAGAAAATATCTTATAGTTGTAATCAGTTGTTACAAAAAAGAAGAATAAAAGGAAAGTAGTAGTCTCCACACATGGGAGAAACTGCCTCCATGACCACACAGTTGAGAGGTCAGAAGCAGAGAGAGAGCAAACAAAGCAGGTAGGACAATCAGGAAGATGAGGAGAGGAACCGCGGGTCTTGTTTCAAATTCCAGAGGTCAGAAAAAGAGCTCTGCTAAGTAGCTAGTGTCAAAAAGAGGCAGTCATCTTAGCTTGTGAAAGCTCCCTTCCACTAATACTCAGAGTTAATCGCATGCAAGATTGTTATTATCCCAACATAAGTTCCTTCCTTGATTCTCTGTTAACTTTCTTCTAGCCCATTATGCCTTTTGATATTTCAGCAGTTATTGCACACAACCCAAGGGATCTCTGAAGTTCAGAGCTGGTGATTAGTCTGGGGCTCAAGAACTGATTGATCCCTTATTGCCATCTATGCACACAGCCATAAAGATGGCCCAAATAACTTGGAGTGTTCAACAATGATCCTTGAAATATTTTTGAGTTACAGCTCCATCAGACCCAGCCAGCACAGCCAAGAGTGATGGGTTATGAGAACTGGTGGTCTCCTCATAAAAATGGTTGTGTGTGAGGGGGTGCAGGTGTACACTCCTAACAAGCCATCTGGCCCCGGGATGTAAGTATTAGGCAGCCAGGAGGAGGGTATGTTCCCCCAATATCAGACCAGCAGGAAAGAGTCCATGTAGCTGAAGGAGAGACAGTTCCCTGATGAGGAACAGCTGGATGGGGAGGGGTCAAGGAGAATAAAAGGGCAAGAGTGGGAAGGCACAGAGTAGTTGTTTGCTTATGAAGAAGAAGAAGATGTGTGGGAAGATGCCAGAGGCAAGAGAAAAGAATGCAAGCAGTATCTTACCCTGTTTGTTTGCTCAGGACAGGAGTCAGACGCTGGAGACTTCAGCCACCTGTTGGGACGCAGCAGTGCTTGCTGGGACACCACCCTGGACCTGGAGAGGCTAGTAAACACAGGTGTGTTGGGGGAGACAGGAAGAGATGAGTCACAGAGCCTGACTTCCTTCACTTGTATCTACGAACCTTCCCCAAAAGGGGTGTGGCCAGGAGCACAGCTTCTCTCTCCCTCCTGCTTTTCAGAATCTGGACTTTGGTGAACTCCAGTGAAGTTAATTGGGCCCCCAAGTTGGCAAGCGGGACCCAAGGGACTAGAGACTATAACTCAGCCCTACAGGACTGTGGGGGGAAGGACAGAGGGAAGTGAAGCTGTGCCACTAATAAAAGTCATTCAGAGCCAAGATGTTGATCTGGAGCCCATGTTAGGGGATATTTCCCCTGCCAGCGCCATGTGAAAGGGACCTGGTGGAGTGCACAGTGTGCCTCAGCAGTTTATTGTCCTGATACATAACTTGTATTGTGTACAAGAATCTACAGTTAGGACACAATATGAAGAGACAGAATGGTTTCTTATAGGCAAAGGTGTCAAACAAAGGTGAATTTTATCCCCTTATCTGTTCAGTCTCTATGTAGGTCATATCATACAAAAGTTGCACTACATTCAAATGAAGGAGAAATGAAAATTGGGGGAAAATATCAATAATTTGAGATATAGATGACACCCCCTTACTTGCATAAAGCAGGAAAGATCTGAAACAACATCTGGTGAAAGTAAAATAAGAAAGTACCAAAGTAGGACTGCAGTTCAATATTAGGAAGACAGAAATCATGACTAGAAGTACACAACTTTAATGTGTTCTGTAGATTCTTGTACACAACGAAGAAACTGAAATAGAGTTTTGAAATATGATGCCCAAGGGGAACTCTCTGAATACCATGGACGGTTAGAAAGACAAATAAGTGGATCCTAGAGCAAATAAAGCCTGGACTATCTCTGGAGGCAAAAATGATGAAACTGAGGGTGTCCTACTTTGGGCACATCATGAGAAGGCAAGATTCTTTGGAAAAGACAATAATGCTGAGAAAGGTTGAAGGCAGCAGGAAAAGAGGAAGACCAAATATGAGATGGATTGACTTCCTAAAGGAACCACAGGCTTGAGTTTACAAGAGCTGATCAAGGCAGTTGAGGATAGGACATTTTGCAGACTGCTGATTCATAGAGTCACCATAAGCTGGAGGTGACTTGATGGCACATAGCAGCAACAATATGAGAACTGATGTCCAGAAACATTGGGAAGGCCACAGTTGCCCACCACCAAGGCAAATATATGTGTGTGTTGGGGGGGGAGAGATAGAAAGTAGTGCAAAGGACCATAGGCTACCCATTATACCCATACAGTGCAGTCCACGAGGAACCGTCCCGTTGAGCTCAGGAAATAGTGCATGGGATTGTGGGTTGAAAGTGTGGATGTAGAAGCCCCACCCATCATCCACCCCATAAATGGTAGTATGAAGAAATGAAAGTATGAACAGCTTTGCTAAATTACCAAAACAGGGAAGACAAGACCTGGTGTTGCCCAGAAAAAAAATGCATGAAAATCTATCAGCATTCATAAGCGCAGCCCTGCTTTCATTTTATGTGGGTCTCTTGATTTTTTAAATATGGAAATAAGTTCTCTCCAACTGAGACAAGCTGGCTTCTCTGCTGTTGATATTTTTTTTTTGTATGTGCATCTAATTATCATGAAAAGGAGCCAGCCTGACAAGCTCTGGGTGTTTAATTTCAGAAGGGAAGCAGCACATGTGGTGAGGACATCTCCTTCATGTTGTACATCTAAGCTACCTTATGGCTGAACCCATGGGGTAGGAAAGAGGGTAAGTCACCACTTTTCTTTGGTCCACTTGTTCTCATGTTACTGTAACAGCCAAACCAATTATTCATACATGAATCCTCTTGTATTGAGGACTTGTTTATGTAAAGCTTGCTACAGCTCTCAGCTACGAGACAGGCACGTCATGTGGAAGCAGCTCAGAAAGATGGTTTAGATGTTACATTCACCACAGGGATCAGCATTGTTAAGGGAAATTTTTGCTTTCACTCTCAAACAGATAAATGAGCACTGAAGCTGCTCAGAAGCAGTTGCTTAGTCAAAAATGTGTAAAACTTCTCCAGTAATTTGAGAAGGAACAGTTTCCTTGAAATGGATCACAATCTTGAAACTCTTCGTTTTACTGATATATTTTGCTTATTTTGCAGCACATTTACTTGTGTGTGAGCCTCACTGAATTCAGTGGGCATTATTTTGGGTTAGGGCATGGTCACAGGATGAAAATGAATTGATAGGTGGATCAAGGGTTTTGAAATCAGATTAAAGCCATGTGGTAGTCAGAGGGGGTTTGAGTTTGTTTTTTCTTGGGAAAACGTTTAATCCATGTTTAAGCTGTTTGTATATTGGTTGAGAGGGCTACACAGGCTCTTAAAATCATTTCAGTTAAGGCTTTGTCTTGTACCCATTTGCCTGCTCTTGTGATGGCCACTTGCCATGGTTGCTGTGTTGTTGTTTTTTAAATATATTTTTTAAATTATTTCTTTCAAACTGGCATATCGCTATGTCATAATACAGATGGAATAATATTTAAAAAGGTAGCCAGTGGCTATACTCTGGTTTCTCTTCAGATCGTATAAATCTTATACTCTGGTAGCCAGTGGCAGAGAGAAAATACCTAGAAGCTGCTGGGCTTTGTCAATGTCTCTGGTCAGTTTCTCTTGCTGTTCCTCTTGCAAGCACTGACTGCTGGTTCCCTTGCTCCCCTGTGTGTTTGTCTGTGTGTGTCTCCATGGATATCCTCACTCAGACGTTTTCAGGCGAGGAGGCTGTTGTCACTTTAAAATTTTACTGAAAGACAATAATCTCTCTGGTTCGTTGGAAGAAAATACCAATTTTTTCCCTATGTGTAAGCCCACCCTTAGACACACATAGAGTTGCACTCTTGAGACATTTTCTTTATCACCCTACCCATTGGCACAAAATGCCTATGAACTATTAATAAAAGAACTCGGTTTTCGCGCCTGTTTTAGAAATATTATTCAGCAGTTATGATCAGAGAATACTGCCACAATTCTAGTAAATGAGGGTATGACAGAAACAATTACATTAGCCTGGGGGACAAGGATGCCCCTTATCTCCAGTATTATTTACCTTGATAATAGAATTATTAGCAAATACAGTTAGAAGATAAAAAATTAAATATATTAGGTAATAAAGATATAATCAAGAAAAACGTATTTGCAGATTACACATTATTAACAGTTGATGATCCAATGAATTCTATTGAAAAGATTAAATGGCATTTAAAAGTCTTTGAAGAAGTAGCAGGACTAAGGGCAAACTGGAGTAAATCAGAATTTATGTTAGCAAATTATGATAATGAAGAAAGGAGTAAATTGGAAGAGAAATTTGAGGGTAAGCTAAAAATAGTATTAGATATTTAGGGATAAGTATTACTTAGAACTTGCAAGATATTGTTAAAATGAATTTGGAAAAACTAATTTTTTTTTCAAGGTCTGGTCGACCACTCTGGGCGGCTAAAAAAACTAAAAAAACAAATCAAAGAACAAATTAAAGAATATCAAAAGTTGAAGTTATCCTGATTTGGAAGAACTGCAGTAGTAAAAATGAAAATAATCCCTAAATTAAATTTTGTATTTTGGATGTTACCTATAAAAATAGCTGATAAGGAATTAAAATAATAGCAGAATATGATTAATACGTCAAGATCTGTGAAGGTCTTTTCTACTGTCCATTCTACAGAAAATTCCTGGGAAAAATAGAAATTTCTATATAACTTTGCTGCTTTCAGACAAAGTCCCTGACATTATTCTCAAAGTGGCTAAATATTGTGCTGCTGTAATATCATACCGTAGCCTCCTAGCCTTGTGAGGCTATGGTTGCCCTGGCCTAACATTATGACAAAGAACCATCAATGATGCAATAATGGCTTTTGGCCTATGTTTAATCTGTGCTTGTTTACTATGTTATTAGATGTCTTAAAAGAAGATGTTAACAGGGAAGTAAATGTTTTAGAATTGTTCACCTGTTTTTCAAGGTTATGGAAATTATATTTTAATTGTAATATGTTGCTGATCTTTGACCGTAAATAAACAATTCATTCATTCATATTGTAATGAAAATAAAAGTACGAGGATAAGTAAAAAATTATGGTATTTTCTTCAAATAATGGAAGTTTGGGCATACCTGATATTAAATTATATTAACAAATCAATTGAGGTATATACCAGAAATTATAGTAATCATTAAAGGGATAATATGGAGTGATCTTGAGTTTTAGAAGATTAAGGAAAATATGGAGAATTTGTTTTTAAAAGAATTAGATGTCTTAAAAGAAGATGTTAACAGGGAAGTAAATGTTTTAGAATTGTTCACCTGTTTTTCAAGGTTATGGAAATTATATTTTAATTGTAATATGTTGCTGATCTTTGACCGTAAATAAACAATTCATTTATTCATATTGTAATGAAAAATATAAGTACGAGGATAAGTAAAGAATTATGGTATTTTCTTCAAAAGAATAGAAGTTTGGGTATACCTGATATTAAATTATATTAGCTCATCAATTGAGATATATACCAGAAATCATACTAAAAAGTAAGGGAATAATATGGAGTGATCTTGAGTTTTGCATAATTAAGGAAAATATGGAGAATTTGTTTTTAAAAGAAAAATTTAAAGGATATTATTAAAAACATAGATAACCCATTTTTAAATAATATGTTGCAATGTTGGAAGACGTATAAGATTGAGTCCAAAGATTTCCCCATTGACATACGTGGTGGAATTACACAGATTTACAATTCATTTATTCATATTGTAATGAAAAATATAAGTACGAGGATAAGTAAAGAATTATGGTATTTTCTTCAAAAGAATAGAAGTTTGGGTATACCTGATATTAAATTATATTAGCTCATCAATTGAGATATATACCAGAAATCATACTAAAAAGTAAGGGAATAATATGGAGTGATCTTGAGTTTTGCATAATTAAGGAAAATATGGAGAATTTGTTTTTAAAAGAAAAATTTAAAGGATATTATT